CTGCACCACAACAGTACAATCAGAGGGACCAAGTGATGCTACAACAGACTCATAGGTGCTGGCAAGCTTGGAGTCAATGACAGTGCAGCCTTCTACATCAATCACTGCCAACACTGGTCGATGGTCACTCTGTTTCAGCTCAGCCCTTCCATAGTGAACAAACTGACCTAGTGCAAAAGGGTAGAGGAATTATGTAGATAATACAACCATTCTCATACCCTGCAAACAAACATCTTTTTATTCTTGCAGACATGCCAGTAGGAAAGATTTATTAAGCAACAGAGTCTAAAGTTAGCCCATGAATACTTCTAAAAAGCATTAACTTCTTTCAAATGATTTAAGGCCATTCAAATATGTTTTCAGTAATGTACATTATAATATAGAAATCAATGCAAAATACATGGGTCAGTGTGAACTCCCTGTACTTAACCCCTTCCCGATGGGTGATGCCGACAGGCGTGAAAACAAACCACTTGAAAGCTGGCGTGCGGCTGTAAGCCGTGGGGGCGCGCCAAAGTGCGGCGACCCAGTGATTCGGGCCGATGTACCGAACTCACGCGCTCAAAGTCAGCGCGCCGCCATTGTTTGACACAGCGTAGATTTTTATTGTTTTTGTTTTCTTCACTTGTCACCATTGGGTTAATTTAACCCATTGTGGTTAATTCACCAATTTTATTTACACACTAATACCTTCACATGGGCTTAGTCTCCAAAGAATCAAATTACTTATTTACCCTATTCCATGAATTTTCAGGAACAACAATTTTGATTTCTATATATATTATCACCATTATGATCATTATAAAATTAACTAAAAGAACAACAATTCAAGGAATGGGCTAGGCCTGGTAATGAAATTAATTTAATTAAGCACTTCTCGAGTCATCTGTGTGCATGCAAAATTAATGAAACAATAGCAATGTGTGTATACATACACTTCTAGCATCAATAGGTTAACATGCCAGAGATCAAAATTAGATAAAATGGCAAACATATTACTGTTGTCTTGTTGTTTATCACTAATTTGGTGTTTGCTGTTATTATAGAGATGTGGCTAAACTGTAAATTTGTTGTTTAGTTGTTTATCACTAGTGCGCTTGTTGTTGTTAAAAAGATGAGGCTAAACCGTCTATCTCGGTTGACGGCAGCATAAGTCCCTTAACCCTTTGGTGATGGGTGAAGAAAGCTAAAAAAAAATATAAGCTCTGGCGATCAATGGCAGTGCGCCGACTTTGAGCGTGGGAGTTTGGTACATCAAGCTGAATTACCAGCTCGTTGCACTTTGATATACCGCCGCAGTGTACAGCCGCATTACAGATCGAGTGGTTTGTTTCCACGCCTCATGCCGTGTCCTGTCGGGAAGGGGTTAAAGCCTCTCTTGGCCAAACAGTATTTCTACCAACATATTTAATCAGTTAAGGCCGTGCTGATTCCAAAGTAGCCAAACTGTATATGCAGCTGTGATTAGTTCATTAAGGATTTTCGTCAGCGGACGACAAGATCAGAGAGGATATTGTATAATATTAAGGTTTAAATATTAATCTTGTTCTAGTATCATATTTTAGCAATCCTTCTTGATTCTTATATATTTCCAACTGCCATTTCTTGCTTTAAACAATAAATAAATATTCAAAAGAGCTGCTAGTAATAAAATCCATATTTTTTTTTTGCCTTAACACTTATGTACTGGAAAAAAACATCATCAGTAAATTTTCCATAAATGAGATGAAGAAAATTAAGAAAATAATCCTAGCAATTCAACTGACAATTCTAAAAATCAGGTGTTATCCTACGGACAAGAAACACAGACTAGAGTAATAAAGAGAGTAAGAGGAACATAACATAAACATACCCGGTGTCCACTTGGGATTCTCCTTGTCACGTGGGTACATCCTCCTCCAGAAGAGCACCCTGTCTGTCCATGCTGGGATGCGGGACTTTTCACTGGTATCATAATCATCAGAGAACAGGTCGTACTTGTAAGTTGGAGCAAATGTGATGTCACCTTCTATGAAACCTTTGAAGCACTTCTCTTCGGCATAACTTTGCTGTAATGGAAATTTTTTGACACTGTCATATTGAAATTGACACCTATGTCTAAGATTAAAATTTCCATAACAAATTTAACTACACTTCAGCACAAAAAAATCTGTAAGCATCCAACAACAGCATACATTCTTGTTGTGACAAACATCACTGGTACACCTAGGTCTCACAAACCCAAAGAGGAGAAAGTGAAAAATATTTCTGGTTCATTTAATGAAACTCTGAATATTACAAAACCTTTTTAGCTGTTCACTACATAATAATTAATATAAACTGAAATCAACCTATTATATTAATTTAGGCAAATAATCATAACCAAAAAATACAGTTTCTGTTAACCCAATTGCGCCGATTGTACAAAACAAAACAAAACAAAAAAAAATCTAAGCTCTAGTAAACAAAGGCGGCACGCCGACTTTGAGCACGTGAGTAGGGGACATCAGCCCGAATCACTGGCTCGCTGCGCTTTGGTGCGCCGCCGCTGCGTTTGGCTGCACGCCAGCTTTCAAGTGGTTTGTTTGTATACCGATCGGCGTCACCCGGCACCAAAGGGTTAAAAGAAATCACATAAAAACAAAAGACACTATGCTGTTCACACTGTCTTTAAGGCAATACTATAAATGGTGTAGCCAGATCTGCAAAGGAGGACAAGAAATCCAAGTTGAAAAATTGTGGTACATAATGGTATGCATACTGTCACCTACAGAAAATACTGCCAGGATACAAGCAAGGGTTTTGTTGTATATCTGATATAACTTCCTGTAACAAAAACACTCTTTACCAAATATCATAATCTTGACAGTGTACAGTGCACTAAAAACGCTCTGCAGACCTTGGTTTACTCACAGTCCATGCCAGTATTCAGCACACACTGAAACCTCATCTTTCTGTATTTTCCTGGATAAATTGAACATTACTTATTATCCAGTCCACAGGCAACTTATCTAGGAAAACAGCCCCCCCCCCCCAATCCAGTATACCTGGATTGCCCAGACTTGGCACTGACACCCAAACCTACGAAGATAGAAATAAGGATTCCCGAAAAGTTTCTAAATCAAGTGGTAACAATATGCCAGGACTCTCACAACCAGGTGTACTATTCTTGGGTTAAGGAACAGATGAATTAAATACTGACCTTAAGCTGATCGTGATGAAGCAGGACACTCCATTCTCGCCTCTGAACGAGTTCGAGTACTTCATCACGAGAAAGATTTATGCGATAATTGAAATCCCCGCACCAGAAGACATAGTCATGGGCCCACAGTGGCATGCCCTGGAAGAACAATAGCATAAATTATGAGAAACCTTTTGCTACAGGAAAGAACATTAAAAAAAAAAAGAGGAAATGTGAATAAAATGAAATAAAATGAATGAATATCATTGATATAATGTGAAGAACAATCATAATAATGCTGCTGATGATCATGTCATCAACCCACTGGATCTGGGTGACATGACTTATGTCATGAAAAAAATGTGACTGAGGGCCAGAGGATGGATATATAGTTGTCTTGGAATAATTTGACTCAGGGCTGGCATGATGGAAAGATTGTTATGAAAAATTTGGCTGTAGTATGGGCTGATGGGAGCGATTCGCATGAATGTACAAAGATCTTGGAGGAAGTTTAGACACGTTGGGCATTTAGGAAAGGGCTCTTGCATTATTTCCGCTAGTAAATGAGGGTGGAATGTTATAATTATTCCTGAGCCAGGCATGGAGGTCCCCTGGCTACTGGGAGGACAATATTTCCAAAATTCTATCCCAGCCTACTGTGACTAAAGGCACAGGGTTTGTTACAGAAAATTAAATATTATGAGAAAATAAGGATGAAGATGAAAAAATTATTATCATTTGACTGAATTATGGACTATTTTGAGAGATGGTATGGAGTCTGTCCCAAGGAAAACAGTCAATTACCATGTTGATACAGTATATCAAATGACAAATATACACTTTGGAAAATATAAAAAAATAAATGTAAAAAGCTTATAGAATGGGGAGGCAAGGAGTTTTGACACTGAATACAATTATGCATTTGAGTTGTGCCATTAAGCTACACGCCCAAAAGAGTCGCTACTCAAGTAAGATTTTGGGCCATGTACAGGTAGTGAGGCACTTGGATTCAACAGGTTATTAACCTTTATAAATATACACCTAAAAAGTAAAAATAATGATTTATCATACAAATCTTGAAGACAAATGAAATAAAATTAGAAAAATAAACAAATATAAAAAACAACAGTTATAATAATGACCAAGGTTATGATAAATATAATAATAACAATCAAAATGACTATAACTAGTAACCTCAAAATGGCAAGCAACATTCTGGAAAACTGTTAGGGAAATAGCAGTCCATGCATTCTTATTCCTCAAGCCTATTACAAGACCCTAGATTATGAAGCCATCAATGAGAAAATAAAATCTATAAAACAAAACTATGGTGGACAGTAATGTACAGATGCAATCCCAGTATCATCATAAAAGAGTGATTATCAAATGAGAAATAATGTGCCCTACACTTACTAGCACAAGAATACTCTCCAAGAGTTTCAGTCAGTGGAATAATAATTCTGTGAATCTGCTTAATCAAAATAATTTGTTTCTTTTTCTTCTCATGTGTGTTTTTATTACTTACAAGAGGGAATATGAGTTTTCGTGCGATGCTGTCGTAATCATTATTCCGCTCATTGACTTCCTTCTGACCAGCAGCAAAATGCGAGCAGACAAATGCCATAGAGGTGTTTCTCACAACCAGACGTATGCCCACGCCTCCCTTGTTGCCTGTTTACAGTGAAAATTTGTGTGATAACTGATGTAACAGTTATGAAATAATGAAATATAATCTTTTTCTTATAGAGACAAAAAACAAAACAAGCAAAAAGAATTGCTTACCTGTTGCACCCTGCATGCCAGTCTTCACACTTTCCACAGATACTCCTCGCACATGGTTTGCATGCTTTTCATTTACGAAGACAAACAATGCTACACCAACCAACTGGGACCAAGTTACCATCACAAATTTCTCATCTCTTGATATAACCTAAAAAAAATGGGATTAAAAGATGAAAGATGAGTAATAAAACGTGTTTAAGACTGTAGCCTGAATACAAATCAATTATATCAAAATCTGCATTGTCACATATTTGTAGCCAAGGGAATTTTTATCAATGCTGTTGAAAATCCTCGAGTCTCAGTTACTAATAGCTATGCCTAAACTGTTTTTCTGCTGCTCTTTCGGTTTTACTATTTCAACTTTGCAACAAAGTTTTTTTTTGCTGCAAATAAACTGTTTCACACTGCCAGACACTCACCATTATGAAATGATTAACCCCTTCAATCCAGATGACATGACAATCACGTCATGAAAAAATCTGGCTTGAGGGGTGGGTGATATAAACATGTTGTCATGGGACACTCTAGCTTCAGGCTGGGTGACACAAACTGTCATGAGTATTTTGGCTGAAGGCCAGAGTGACAAGAAAGACTTAGCACGAGTGCATAAACCTGTTGGGAGGTTGGTTATACTCATTTGGTGATTCTGTATTATTCCCATCGATAAAGAAGTGTGGAATGTAATGTTTGTGAGCCATGACTGGAAGAGTGCTGACACTATGGCTACAAATAGAAGCCATAGTGTCTTGTCACTAGGTCTACAAGCCTCAAACTTGGCAGAGCGGCCGCTCACGTAAGCCTAATGCCCTGATTTTCGGTCATGTGATTGCTGTGATGCAACTGGATATAAGAGGTTAATAACTACTCTTCAATCCCTCTAAATTATTATTATTTTTTACATTTTACTGTATCAGCACCTTGAATCTGGGAGATGTGACCATCAATTCATGAAAAAGTTTGGCTAAAGGGTGAGTGACATGGACATATTGTCATGTAAATATTTGGCTAAGGGCCAAGTGATGTGAACATTTCGGCTGAATGTCAGGTTGATGGGAATGACTCACTACGAGTACACAAAACTCTTGGAGGATGAGTAAATTTGCTAGGTATTTAGGAACGAGCTCCAGTATTATGTTCATCTTTAATCAAGCAGCTCCAGGGAGGACACTGTTTCCATGTGTAGGATCTTATGACTGGTGGTGCAGGGTTTATTACCAACAGAAAATTGAATATTGAATATTAAATAAATAAAAAAAAAAAAAAAATACATTGTTACTTCTTGTTATTATTACTGCTGAGTTGTAGCCTACTTAGAGAGTTTGTGCAAGGAAAATAATCTATTATCATAATGATGCAGCATATCAAATGACAAACAAACTTGGAAAAGTAAAAAATGCTTAAGCAGAAAATGAGATAACAACATTGAAAGGGATGACAAGGAGTCTTGACACTGCACATTAGTGTTCGTGTGAGTTATGCCTTCAAGCCATACACCTGAGATAGTCACCACTCAAGTAAGCTTATTGTCCCCTTTTGGGATATATGTAGGCCGCAAGGCACCCAGATCTGGGACCATTTTCTTACATGAATTATCATTAACTTTCTGCTTGGCTTACTTTCAATGGAAAAATGGACCCTTCCCTCTATTTTTGTTGCATGAATTTCATCACTTACCGAAATAAGGACTGAGCTCCATACAGAAAATCAGTTTAAAACAATTGCCCCTGACTTCCTGTACATTTACATTGGTCTTTAATCTTGTTTTACAATTACACTATACAGCACCTGTGGTTATCTAAGCTGCACACAATATCATTCAATAAAAATGAAGTCTTGTTTACCTTTTGCAGCTCCTTCCCCCAGGAAGCAGCATTCTCTGACCACTGTGTATTCTGTACAATATTGGTAGCATTCAGATCAACAATTTCTTCAAAGCCAATAGCAAAAACATCAGGAGCTCTGTCAACCGCATCTTCTTCCTCTGGTGTTGTGTCAACCAGAGCTGTTTTGATGAAGTTCAAGAAAAATAATTTAGCAATCTCATAATAGCTTTACAGTGCATCTTAACTGGAAGTTTCAAATATTAAAAATATTAATATCTGCAACACAGTCATATCTTACTCTTAAGTACCTAATCAAATCCTTCTATATATGTAACTCGATGCAATACTGGAAAGGTTTACTTCCCACTATCCTGATTTGTTATTCAATGCATTTACAAATAATCATTTCATAAAAATGCATTAGCCTTTTACATCTTTACTTACAACTCTGAACAGCATTTTTCCTTGAATCAAGAAGCCAGTCATCAAGGGAGAGATGCTTATAGGCAAGACTACGGAAGTGCTTTCCACCATTGACATTGTATGTTCCTACAGCAACACGCAGAGGAATGGGTGCTGTGTACTCTGGACTACGGCGACATATCTGACGTAGAACACTTATAGGTGCTGAAAAATGTAATAAAGAAACTAAAGTATTTTATAATAGATATTCTTGCTTTCTATCATTTTCAATAAAGTGAATTAACAATAACAGAATAGCTATAAAAGTACAAATCCACAAACCACTGTAACTTTCATTATCATCTGATAAAAAAAATAAAAAACTTCCCAATTCCCAATTCCAGCTTACCATACAAGTAGCTTGAAGGTAGAAGAGATCGCGCAAGGGCAGCTAGGTAATTATTTAGCAGGTTACCGTGCAATAGAATATCTATGGCCTCTTGCTTACTGCTGTCCAGAAGGTTGTTTTGAATAGTCCGTGCAGCTGATCTTGCACCATCAATGATCTAGAAGCATGACTAGTATTACATATTCACACAAAAAAATTTCAATACAAATTCAAGGACCCCAATTCACTACTTAGGCACAAAATTGATAAATATCTGAAATAGTGACGTTAATAATCTTAACTTTTGAATGGTTTTCTGAACAGAATTTTTCCCAATACTATCATAAGCATTCAAGAAAGCTTGTGTTATTTTTCAACTCGTATTCCATATGCATTTCTGTATGTACAGAACTGTAAGTAATATTCTGTTAAGATGAATTCCCAATCCAGAGCAAAAGTTTCCCCAACTGAGCCTGAACCTAATGTATGTCCTAAAGTTCAATATATGCAATGAGGGTAAATGTCATGTAAGCTATGCAACAGCAGCCATTAACATATACAATGTTTTATATCAAGAGAGCTACACTAATTTAAAAATATGATCAAACAAAATCTAGTAAATAACTAAAATGATATGGCAGTAAACAACACAGTGTTACAAGAAGCTCGTAACCCAAAAAGTCACTGTGATTAAATATGGACCTTATATACAGTGACCTTTGTCTATGGCAACTAGAAATTTTGATGGTATCTAACCCCTTCCCGACGGGTCATGCCGTGAGGCATCAAAACAAACCGCTCAATCTGTGGCGTGCGGCTGTACGCCGCGACGGTGCACCAAAGTGCTATGAGCTGGTGATTCGGCTTGATGTACCGAACTCCTGCGCTCAAAGTCGGCGCATTGCTATTGATCTCCAGAGCGTAGTTTTTTATATATCTTTTTATATTTTTAAATTTTTTATTTATTCTTTTATTTTTTTTTGTTTTCTTTACCCGTCATCAAGGGGTTAAACAGCTTTCCCTTTAGCACATTCCACTTTTAGTTTCTCAATCAACAGGATATTAACACAAGAGTATAAACACTGATCAAGAAAATAAACTACAAATGAATTCATTCTTTTACACAGCCATTCTCATAAAAGGGTTAAATAGAATACAAAAACTTCTTTTCCAAAAATAATTCTCCACAATTTTCTGAACTGCATTCTGCCTGAATATAAACCAGGTCTATCTACATACTTTCCAAATGGAGGAGTATTTTCTTTAGTTCCAAATATATTAAAGATTATACTCTCACATGTTTCAGTTTGTACAGCTACCAAGAACAAAAATATAAAGGTAATTAAATAACTGTTTTAGCACCTACAGATGAAAGGTGGATTGGGGTCCTTTAGGTCCATTCAGTATTCTCCATAAAGGAAACTTCACATATGTTAAATTACGGATTGAATCCTAATCCACATAGATATGTTGTGAGCAAATCACTCAAAAAACTGTAAATCAAAATCTCACCTTTGATCCCTGCAGAGCCCCGGTCCCTGCATAGATTTGGCTGATACGATTGCCATTTTCCTTCCACATTTCCTCTAGTTTTGTTGTAAACCGTTGCACAATGACCCCATTATTTGAAACACCAATATCTTCCAACATCTTGAAGAGGGTGTCTAGCCCAAGGAATGTCTGTACACGATTAGTACGGTCAAGGCAGTCTAAACAGTTGGTTCGCATTGTACCTCTCTGAAGCTGCAAAATAAGAATTATGGGCATATGAACACATGAAACAAAGAGTTAACAATCACACAAAATAAAATTAACTTAGAGCAAACAATCAAATAAAATAAATTTTAAAAATTCTGTTCAGGTAATGATTATCTTGATACAAGAATAAAAAAATCTTAAAAATATTGTGATATCTACTGTTCAGAACATCAGAGAAAGGCAGTGTGCTTGCCATGAACATAACTATCTTTGAGCTAACATATCATATTCCAGAAAATACTACTGTGTACACAATCAAAGGATCATGAATATAAGTTTAGTCAATAATGACTAAATTGTCAATAAGAGTTACTCACAGATTGGATTTGATTATTTCTAGAACAAAAGTATCCAAAAGCATTGATCTCTTCTTGTATTCTTGGCTGAAGCTTCTTTGCTAGATTATCAATATTGCCACCTTTACATTCTTGATGGAAATCAAAGACTATGTGGGGAGAGTCTTTGAACCAGGGGCAGTTCAGATGCTGAATCTAAAAAGATGAGAGAAGAAGTACATTTAATAAGTTTTGCTGTAACTTGAGCAAATAAAGCTTCAGTACCTCAACCCACTAGATGCAGGTGACTTGACCATGATACAAAAAATCTGGCTGAGGGCAGGTGGCAGGAATGTGCCGTCATTAAAAATTCAGCCAAGGGCAAGGCCAGTGGGAATGATGTCATGAGTGC